AAGACATGATCTATGCTGTCAGTGTGGGCAGAAAGAGTTGACCACCGGGCTTCCCTCATTGAGGCATTGCTTGTCTTTGTCGTGCCACGAGTAGGAACGCACCAATTAGGCACGCGCAGTGATTGACTGACTCCACCCACACAGTCAGCGCGGATTGCGTATTTAAAACGAATCACGAATGCCTACGAAGAATATCTAAACAGGCTAGTCAAGCATTTCATATCTCAGGGGTCAGTTAATAAGTTTCAAGCTTGCGTAAGAGGATGAAGCCCCTAGGATCTTTCATTCCACGGGCACTTCGCGACCCGATCGCTTGGATCACGCGATGAGATCGCGAAGTGTGAACGCGCATCGGCTCTCCTCCTCAAGTTGCAGATGTAGGTTGAATCCGCGCTCAAATATCTGTAAAAGTCCAAATGAAGGATGAATCTGTGGCTCGTTCTAGATGAATCTACTAGTGGGAAATAATTTGCCCTCCCTCTTGAGTTTTTCTTACTGTACCCTTCAATGCCTCTAACTTCTAATAGCTCTTTTTTTGTCACGAATTTTCTAAAAAGTTTCCAACCTGTGCAATTCGAGTGAGTTCAAATGGTTCATAGAGATGAACACCTATCGTCTTCTCATCGTTGGTAGTACCGTCGAGACTCATCACAGGTGCATCGGGGAAGAAACGTCGTACAGCTCGTAGAAGAGCCGAATTTGAAGCTGGAAAAACAGCTCAAACGATAAGATGGACTAAATGTGGGACATAGTAGGACGTACTTCGAGTAGCATCAATGATGATTTCGCCATGAAGTCGCGAAACGTCGTCGGTCATTCTGAGATTTTCCATGAGACGAGCTAACATGTCTTGTTGGTGCTGAAATAAGGCCTCCTCATAAGAAAACTAGAACAGTTCCATGAACTTACCCTGAGATCGTCAATGAACTGTAACGGGAATTTCTCTTCGACGTGCTGCTGGAGCATCGTTTCAATTGACTGCCGCATGGGTTTACTGCTTCCGTACAGGGCAACAGGTGTGCCGCTTGAGCATACTAAAGCAATAGATTGAAGGTTTTGAAAAGCAAATAGGCAATCAAATCAAAACCCCGCAGAAGCTCAGGGAAATCGGCACACCTTGCCTTATCCAGCCTCTGCGCTTTTGTTGAAACTTAGACCAGAGATCGGCAGTTCGCCCTGGGTGAGTTAGGTCACAATTTTGTCCTCTTGAGTAGCCCGAGCCCTTGAACGCGAATATCTCATCGGCAGGCGCATGATCTACGGGCGCTGGCCTCAAACCTGGCCCGTTTCGCGAGAACAGTGGCACGGACTCCTCCAGCCAAACGGAATTATACAGGGTGTCTATCCCCAAGGCACGAAGTCCCTCCTCCCCCTCCCCCTCCCAGAAAAAGTTTCGGTGAAAATTCTCCGAATTTGGAATTGTGAGACAGCAAAGGGCGAGTAGTAGCCCAGGTCCCTCTTATCTCGATCTGCTCTAGCGATGGATGTCCCTCTAAAACTTCAAGCGACTAGAGCTGGCATAATGGCGAGTGGCCCTTCTCACCACTCGTACTGTTTGATTGTGGCACCTCAGAGCGATTCTCGCCCAGCATCTCCAAACTCAGGGCATCCCCAGCGTGGAGGAGGGGAGGGGGGCGTACTTGCCTTGAAAAACTTTTTGATAGTCGATTTTTTTCCTGTTTCACACGAGCTATGCGCATCGTTCGGAGAGTTCTAGTGTGGAGATAGTATCAGCTCGTGGTCGAGAGGAGGGGGGGGGGGTCGTCTTCAAGGTAGATTACACAAAATACGAGAGACGTGAATAAAAAAAAGCTCTCCACCCTAGTAGGACGTAGAGAAACGTTAGGATGGTAGTGGGCAAGGGATAGGGAGGGGGTAGGTGAGTGGTGGTCGTGTTCCTAGGAAATTTTCTTCAGAGGCACGTCCCTGTCCAAGCCGCCATTCCTCCCTTTGGACTAAATCGCATTGAAAATGTCCCTTCAGTTCTAAATAAAAGTAGAAGGCATGGCGCACCCCAAAAGGAGCTGATACATGCCCGAGGACTTATCCTTCACCCGTCCTTGCATCCATGGAATTTTTCATATGAAACTTTTGGAATGTGAGGCATGAATGTGTTGAGTATTGATCAAACTCACAAAGTTTTGTCACAAACGCCGCCAGTTTACCCTCTCCAACAACAATAGCTGAGGCCATTTCTGAAATTCGATTGTTCGATTACTGCAAAAAGTAAAGTAAATAGCATGGCAAACAGTACGGTAAATCCATCAGGTGGAAGATTTCGAAATGGGAAAATGTCGAAGGGGAAAACTGAAATAGCGTTTCACTTTCTTTTGAAAGTGCAACACTGATCGGAACTTTTCCAGAGGCACGTGAAATTCACATGTACCTGAACTATTGAAAATTGGGGAGAAAAGAGAACAGGACTATATCAAATGCAGGCTTTCGACATTTTGCTGCAACAAAATTGAGAGCCTCAGAGTTCAGCATCAAAACAGTCCAAATTAATCTTCAATTTTTTGATTTCGTGTAATTTAAATATGTACATTGAATCTGAATATGCTGACCTAACAATTAGAAGCGCTTTTTTACTGGAAATGTTGAAAACAACCGCATCGCGCACTGGAGAGGTGTCTTTTGAAGATAGACCGGCGTCAGCAATTCCGGCTTTCGGAACGTAGACCTGAGGAGACGATCGCGATTGAAAGTTCCGCTACAGTACATGGCGCATTGCGAACATCGCTGGGCTGGTCACGGAAACCGCCGCAGCAAAACGGATGGAGTCTTCGCGTCACAGAACTGCTCCCAAGTAACATAAAGCGGCCTGCGAGAGCGAATTAAAAACGAACTTCCGAATCCACATTTCTGAGTAATACTTTCCCGGGGGAAGACTCGACTGGATTTTGACCCCGGCCGCAGTTCGACATCTTGAACACGAAAAGCGCGATAGCTAAGCGCCGGTGTCAACACCTCAAAGTACCAAATCTGCTATAAATATTGGGTTGGCACATAAGTACTTTCGTTTTTTTTCAACCGGAAATTTCGTTCCAAAGATGAAATGTTTTGCTAGCAAGCTTGATATCATCTGATAGGAAACTTCACGTAGTTTTAGAATATCAAAACGGCTTTGGTTGAGGGAATAATTTTTGTGGATTTTTTAGTCGTTGAAGTTGAAAGCGAAGTCGGCGAAAATTAGCACCTTCGACAACTGCCTCTATTTACGTATAGTCGAAGTGCTAAAATCGCTTAAGCTGCTCCATACATTTGGAAAAGGTCGAGCTAGAAGTTCCAGCAAGGGAATCTCACTAGGACGCTTTGGAACGAATTTCAAGAATTTTGAAGTTACCAACCTTCACCTCGCCGATATTGGGCAGCTCACGTCTGTTCCACCTGAAATTTTATGCTAATATTTGAATGTTTCGCTGATATGTTTTGCATGTTCTGATAGCAAATTTCGTGCTCTATAACACTGCTATAGAAATCTGTTCTCCAGAGGTGTTTGCTTTCTGTTAAGTTCAGGTTATCATTACGGAACGCGAAGTCGTTGAGAACTAGCGTTCCCGTTCTCCACGAATTTTATGCTAACATTTGAATGTTTCGCTAATGTGTTCTATATGTTCTGATAGCCAATTTCGTGCTCTATAACACTGCGTTGCAGTTATTTTGAAAATCCGTTTGATGAACCTTGTTTTTCAGGTGGATAATATGGAATGTCAGGTCGATAAGCATCAGCACTTCAGACATCTCCTCCTTTTCGCATTCAACAGAGGTATCAGAGCTGCTGATGCTGCTCGGGAAATTCGCGAAGTGTACGGAGAAGATGCCCTCTCTCTCAAAACAGCCCAAAATTGGTTCAGACGCTTCAAGAATGGTACTGATACCTCTGTTGAATGCGAAAAGGAGGAGATGTCTGAAGTGCTGATGCTTATCGACCTGACATTCCATATTATCCACCTGAAAACAAGGTTCATCAAACGGATTTTCAAAATAACTGCAACGCAGTGTTATAGAGCACGAAATTGGCTATCAGAAATATAGAACACATTAGCGAAACATTCAAATGTTAGCATAAAATTCGTGGAGAACGGGAACGCTAGTTCTCAACGACTTCGCGTTCCGTAGTGATAACCTGGACTTAACAGAAAGCAAACACCTCTGGAGAACAGATTTCTATAGTAGTTTATAGAGCATGAAATTTGCTATCAGAACATGCAAAACATATCAGCGAAACATTCAAATATTAGCATAAAATTTCAGGTGGAACAGACGTGAGCTGCCCAATATCGGCGAGGTGAAGGTTGGTAACTTCAAAATTCTTGAAATTCGTTCCAAAGCGTCCTAGTGAGATTCCCTTGCTGGAACTTCTAGCTCGACCTTTTCCAAATGTATGGAGCAGCTTAAGCGATTTTAGCACTTCGACTATACGTAAATAGAGGCAGTTGTCGAAGGTGCTAATTTTCGCCGACTTCGCTTTCAACTTCAACGACTAAAAAATCCACAAAAATTATTCCCCAACCAAGCCGTTTTGATATTCTAAAACTACGTGAAGTTTCCTATCAGATGATATCAAGCTTGCTAGCAAAACATTTCATCTTTGGAACGAAATTTCCGGTTGAAAAAAAACGAAAGTACTTATGTGCCAACCCAATACTTCCCTCTACTTTTAGTTCGGCCCCTTGGATATCGGTACCGCTCCGCGCAGATACGCCTTGTACGTTTGGAGCCGGCGCCAAACTGGAATATAGTACTGGCGCCTGGCGCCAGGCATTTTAGCCTCCAGGGTGTGATATTTAGGTTCACACGGTTGTGCACGGTAATGAAATCCGTGTCAAGTTCACCTAACGGGGATATTCTGATCATAATGTGGCCTGAATTTCAAAGAGCGGAGTAGTAAAAGGTAAGTATGTTGTACCCGCTCGTGCTTTCTAGACGGTAAGGTTTAACATATACTCTTCTTACTGGTAAGGAACGAGAGGGTTAAAATTTCAAGGGGACGTTCGGCTCGGTGTGGGCACCATAAGGTACTCAGCGAAGCTGATGAAGGTCACTTTGTGAAGACCTGTGAACTGCTACAACCAACGTGACTCACTTGTCGCAGTTTCACACGAGTTAACAGGTTTCACCGAAATAAGACTGCTGATTAACATGAACTAGCAAGAGGAACTAGTGAAAATACCCCCTCTTGACCTGAACAGACTACTAGGGGACGGGGGGGGGCAGCATTTGGTGAAACCTGTGAACTCTTGTAAAGCTGCGAAATGGTACAAGTGAGCCCTTTTGGTCACATGAATTAATTGCTCTCCACAAAGTGGCATGAGTACCATTTGGTGCCCCTCCCAGCCGAAGTACGCCGATTTGCGGCCATTTTCAACGGCAAGAAGGAACTTCGAGAAGAAATACGGACTCTAATGAGCAACTTCGCTACGGTGAGGAAAAATAACTCCCAGAGAAACAAGAAAACCCCAAATAAGAGATGTAGTCTGCAAGCGGAAAGAATAACAAAGGTACTACATGGTAGGCAGTCTATGAGAGTACTGAATGGCAAATGGAACCTGTTGGTGCAAGGAACGTGACCAGACCAAAACAGGCCGTCTTCTTATCACACCCAAACTGCCCTATCAAGGGGAAAATAGATTGAACATCATAAACCCATCCCGAAATGCCAGCTGTGATGGCGAGATTAAGGGTGGACAAGAACAGAGATCGTCGAGCGCTGCAAATGACACTGGTCACTGGTCGATCGGGGTGCCGGCCTCTCCATTTAACACATCGTCCGGCCGGGGTCAGCCCCGTTCATGTGGAACCCATGTGTCAGCCACATGCGTTCCCCCCACCCACTTCCGATCACCCCATGTTTCTGGTTTATTCGGACTCGATCAACAAAAACACTCAGTTGCAGCGAATACTTCATATTATATGCAGGTATACAATAGATATGACACTAGACGGCCGGCCGAAGCCGATAGGTTTCTGACGAGGGTTCACGTAGAGTTTTCAGCATTCGTATCCATTGACCACAATCGTTCTTAATTTCACACTGACCGATTACACGTTTCCTGAAAGGAGACATCCTTATCAGCTCTTCCCAGAAGCACGTGAAATTCACAAGTGAGCTGCTACATTTGGAGAAAAAACAGGGCGTAATCCACTGCAGAACTTCAGCAATACCCTTCAACAAAACTGCAAGAAGCATAAAGAAGTCAATGGAGGTTCACATAGACGAAGAAATGGCAGTTCGTGCAACAGGGAGGGGCATTTTGCACTCCGGCTGCTTAACTAGTTCTAAC